CCTTTGATTTTTTTTTTTTTTGTGTGTGTGTGTGTGTGTCTTTACCACCTGTAATCAGTGTCAAGTCTGAAAGCAGAGATGGCAATGATTCCATGGAGGGCTTCTGGGGAGGATCAAGAAGCGAATGCATTTGTCTGCAGTGCAGATGCTAAGTTAAGATGTAGACAGAGAAGAGCAATTTATAAGGCTCATGCTGGAAAAAGGTTATTTTCAAGGGTAACCTTAAACGTCAGTGTAAACAAAATTCATGCATTCTGTTGTGAAGGGGCTGAGACAAGTTTACCAATGCATGGCAATTTTATAATGCTTTATAAGTATTCCGTTTCATTCCGCACTGTTAAATATAGGAAGCTACCTACTGAAAAGCACTTCAATGTGGAAATTTAAAATGCAATTTTAAGTATTACTTTTCTATTTTAAATTTGAATATGCTTCCTTTCCAGATTAAGGTAGTGAGTATCAAGTTATAGGTAATATAACCTATTTGCTCACCTCAAGCCCTATCTCCACACTTTCATCATCTATTAATCTTCTGCTATTTTTCCTCTATTTTTCCTTCAGTGGTTGTGCTGTGCCATGTGAATGTGATATGCTGGGTGAACGTGATATAAAGTGCCACGGTATGCAGCATTAAATATAGGGAATACCGCTTCAAGAAAACCCATCCACTTCAAATGTAGTTGCATGTTTCAAGGAGCTGACTGGAAAGCTGTTAATGCTCATAACTTTTCAGCTTGTGTTATACGAACGGAGGCCACATTCATTCTGTCATTCAGATTTAGGGCAGTTTCACAAAGCTGACACAAATGGCCTTCTGAATTACACATTCCTGTCCAAATGCCGAATTTCAAGATAGACCGCTTTTCTGGAAACAAAGAGATAAGTGTGTTAGAACATATCTTTTTATAGCTAAGTAATGGAGACAGAGCAATGCAATTATACTGTGGTCAGTAAATGTCTTTTCATCCCATAATTTGAAGGAAACGTATAATAGATTGAATTCATGACTCGCCCGTAAAGAAAAAGAGATATGCTTGCGCTTACTTCCAACTGGTAGGAAGAATTATAATAACAAAATCTGCATTTCAAAATTGAAGCATTCCTAGGTTTAAAATAACGTTGCCTACTTTTGAATTCCTGTCCTGGAGTTCTTAGCTCTACATAAGATACCTAGTTTCCATTTACAAAATTTGTTAAGACTTCAGGATGTAGTGGAGACCTAAAAACAGGGTCTCACGTGTAAGGAGTGTCCGACAAACATCTCAATGGCATGGTTACAGTCAGCGAGAAGATTTGGAAATATCCTTCCCAGACAAACACCACTGAGGAGGTACTTGGTTAAAATTAGCTAACTGTAATTAGTGAGAACAGAAATATGTCTGGACTCCTACTTCTCTCTGCAATTCAGTTGCCTGGTATAGTCAAGTGCCTACACAGCTTCCAGGTGCAGGAGTGCTTCTTTGACAGCAAGCACCTATCTATTAGGACATATTTCCTTTGGCTGAACCTGTTCTTCTGTATGGTCATGGGACCACAAGAGAGCAAGCAAGAGGAAGCACAAGTTAGTCTTGTGTTTAGGGCATTCAGCCAAGAACAAGAGGAGACCAGGGGTTTGCAGTTACGATTTAAAAAGTAATCCTGGAAGAAGAACCAGCTGAGTGTCCTGACCACGAGGTTATCTCCTCTTTATTTGCTCTGCTTCTTGCCAGATTACTTGGTTGTGCAGAGACTGACATTCAACCCAGGAATGGCCATAATCCAGCTCTTTACTCCCGCCAAGCTGTTTTGTAGTCTGGTAAACAGAGGTAACAGACACAGGTTTCATTCCCTTCAGGATGAGGAGAGAATTGAACCGATGCTTCATAATTCCTTGCTGAATAGCAAAATCAATAGGATTGTATTATATGTAATATCACATTATATATATAATATAATATATATTTTGTATATTATTTAGAATATTATAAAAAGATGGAAACTGTTACCTCTTCCATGGTTTTCCATGAAAGTGGCCTCAGCCCTTGTGCTTTGGTGTGTATTTGGCATGTTGAGAACTTGCCTCAATCAGGTCTCCTGGGGGCTTCCATGGACTTTAGCTGCCACCTCTAACCGGATCACAGCAAAATTCTAATGGAAACAAGGTACCTTGCTTTCCAAAAGAAGGAATTGAAACAGAATGACAAAAGCCCATGTTCAGTCACATAACTTGTGACCCAAAATGTAGGTGGGAAATGTATAACAGCAACTAATGGAACTAGATGCTGTAGACAGAGACATTTTTAGCAATTTTAGCAATTCCCTAAAAGCCAGCTTCTCCCCAGGTTCCATGTTAGGTACTGGCAGTAGCCTCTTCTGATACTATCCAGAGTTTCATGCCAGCACACATATCCTTTTCTCCCCAGTTATCAAATAACAATCTTCGTGAAAAACCAGTGTCTCAGTTTAGACATTTTTCCAGTCTGAGGATAACATATTTTTCTGATAATTTATAGTACTTTAGAATATTATTTTGCATATTATTCTGTTCCTCCTATATTTCATATCCTTGAATAACGTAACTCATACATAGTTTTGTCATTTTGATACTGTTCACTTCTTGTGATCTACACGTCTTGCTGTTTTCTAAGGGAAAACAATGGATCAGCAAAACTGTGTAATTCTCAAAACAACGTTTCTGAACTGAGCACTCCTATTTCCCAAACTAATGGAAATGTGCTTACAAAAGTGACATCTTTCCATTTATTAACTGACTGTATACTATGCATAATGAATTAAATGCTCATAGATTAGTACTAGCTTTGTTCTTGTATTTGCCATAAATGGATGTCCGACAACCAGCAGCTGTGCCTTCTGAGCACAAATCCCATGGGAAATCACTTTTAGTACAGTCAGTTTGTGGTATTTTGCCAGTTCTTCAACTGAGGGTTCACATCCATGTTCAAAA